TTCTACGAGAATCCCTTTCTTCATTGCACACGTTTACATACTGTATTAGACTCGCGTATTATTGGTGTCTCGGGTGTGTGCGATTTCCTCTAAATATAAGTGCATCAATTGTATAATCTATCTGTACATTCGCTACACAGTTCAAATACACAATAATATTAACATATTTAATATTGGACTAATAAGAACAGGGATGCTCTGAAAGATCTCGCAATAAAAAATAATGATTTCAAGCGAACGAAACAACGAGGCATTTTAACTCTATAATCAACAATCTTTCGATTTAAAAAAAAATGTATAACACGTGATCAGCTGAAATGTTAGTCCGTCTGTCGATAAAAGTAAGGATTAGAAAATCAATTAAAAATTATTAGTAGACACTTATGCGAGGGAGGAAAACATAGATAACGCTGTAACGCGCGTTTCTCAGAAATTTTATTTTCGTTTAATTCATGAAAAAGAGAAATCATTTCACCATAGTTCTCATATATTCCACTTCATTCAGTCACTATTTATATACGATAAAGGTATTACAGTAATTTGCTATGTACGAATTAATCTTTAGCTACTTTCACATCAGATCTGAATCGTAGGCATTATACTATAGGACCCGGATGTCAGCTCTGATTTGAAAACAACTTCTCTCTATATAAGTCCATATTAAATATATTTTACAATAATATTATCATTGTACATGAACAACGTATGCTCTACACCTCGCGTTGCTTATCGCTAATTAACCAGCGCAATGACAAGATTTTTATATTACTCGACAAAAACAGAATAAAATTAAGATATAAATATAATATACATGCTACACAAAACACCATAAAAGAACGTTGTTAATTAAAGTTAAACAAAAATTAATCTGGCTAAATTAGCCTTACAGAGTTTGATACTCGAAGGTAGCACTAGTAATAATGTGGAAGAGAACAACACGACGATTAAAGCCATAAAAACTGTCTAAATAGTTGAAAGATTTTCAAGATTAAACTACATCGACAATTAACGTTAGATTAACAATTTAGCTATCTCTTCCTAAATTATAATCTTCAGAATTATATAATATTTCAATCGTATCAAGATTATAACCTTTCTATGAAGATATAATATAGTATAACATATAAACTGCGGTCCGATTCACGCTCATGACGCTTAAAAATCATTTCATCCTTGTTGTTTGTTAAATGTTGAACGAAGACAAATAATGCTCATGAGCGTTGTCAGCATAAATCGGACCACGGTCATAGTATATAACATAGGCAGAGAAAGAAAATGAGTTATCTCTTAACGCTAATTCGTATTAGCGTAGCAGATTTTACATTTTTTTTTTTCCCCCGGAAAGTCGCGTTATCTATAGGGATAATGATAAAATAAAAACAGTATCCTAACAAAACTTTGCGCTGGTTGAAACAACGATCGACAAGAAGGTGTTAATTAGTTAAAATAGACGAGGGGGGGCTGGATTTGTGTGACCCCAATATGTGCGCCGCCTTGGTACCTCCTATAGTAAAATAAATCTCGTATTAATATCACTCACAGACTGCTTATTATATGCTAAGCATAATTTCATGTAATTTAGAGTATAATACTATATTATATTTACGAATCTCATTTACGAATATTTACGGATTTACGAATTAGTCTCAAAGATTGTGAGATACTTACATAAAAGTAGTGGTAAAACAGGCGAAGGGAGGTTATTCCTTATTTTCCTCAGTAGTAACAGTGTTGGAGGGATTTTGGGACTCCGATGAGGATAAAGACGGCGCTTCTGCTGCTGTGTCCGTTGCATCTTGACTCGAATCCGAGCTGTCCTTCATTTCCTCCTGCTTCTTTTCTTCACTAGGAGCGGTATTTTTAGCTTCGTCCACCACATTCTCCGACTCCTCCGTCACTTTCTCGTCCTTGGAATTGGCATCCGTCACTTTCTCAACGTCTTTACTGTCTTTACTGTCCGCACCCTCCGCGTTTTTGTCTTCGTTCGGTATCGTCTTACTTTCCTCCTTCTCCTCTTTCTCCTCGTCTACTTCCATCTTTGTAGACTCTTCTGTGTGTTTTTCACTTTTGTTGTTGGATGTTTCATCGTCTGTGTTGTTCTCATTGTTCTTTTCCTGCCTCTTGGGTCGTCCACGTCCACGACCACCACCACCACCTCGCGTCGATGGTTCCCTCTTTTCCTTCTTGGGTGGCGATGGCACTGGCGTTGTCGAAGTTAGGCCTCTGGCTGAACTGCGAGTGCGTCTCCTGCCTTCTACTTCACCGACTGCAGATTTGTTCATGCCCTGTAAATAACAAGTGTTTCAAAACGAATGGCCAAGTATATCAACAGTAAAGAGAAATAAAATTCAAGATATGTCAAATGGTTTTGCCTCGAAAAGAGCACAGGGTTACAAGTCGTGAATCGCAAGATACAATATTCTAATGCACTCCATCTTTATTGCAGTTCAAATTGTAATTAATTTCAATTAACGTTTGTTGATTCCTAACATCAATAGATAGCAATTTGTAATTGGCGCCTACGCAACGATTGGTTCCTCGTGCCTCACCGAGGGCGCTTATTTCCCTTCTTGCTGTCCCCACCCCGGCCAATCAACGTCCCCCACTCCTAACGTCGTATAACGCTCACGTAGGCAGCAGGCGAAGTCGACGACGGAGAAGGCTAAAACGGAGGGAAATAACCGAGAGTGAGGGGTGGGGAGGAAGAGGCGAGGACCTTGACCAGCGGGACCTCGGCGAAGATTTTTGGAACGTATGATAAGCCGATTTGATCCGATGTGAAGTTTTTCCCTGTTTTTAGATAATCGCGCGAACCGTCGCGAGACGCACCTTTAAGATTGCCTCGCCCTCCTGAGCGGTCCTTTCGAGAGTGGAGAGCCTCTTGGTGCCGCTTCGTTTGTTTTTCGTCGGAGTCGGTTTCTCCTCCGTCGACTGTTCCTGCAAAATCAAGCTTCCTATGTATTCGCTCTCTCGTATCACAAATACATTCTATCGCGCACACGTATAGTTATGCGCTCGCGCGCAGCGTCTGCGCATGTGTCTTGTATGTATACGTATAGTAGACATATCCATATTTCTTCGCGAGAAACGTACGTATATGTACATACGCGTATCAGGCTTACGCAGTCGCGCGCTCGTTGACGACGTCTTGAGATCGTTCGAGAGAGAAAGAGAGAGTTGGGAAGTTGCGAATAAGGCGCGGGCGACGGGCGCACGGCACCACGCGACATGACATGATAATTACGACGTTCGACGTGATAAGATTATCGAGAACCGTTGAACCATCGTCGAGACTCTAACGTCGTGTTTAAGTTTCCCGCCATTTTGCCGTGCGTCCGTCCGTATCGTCTCCAACGTCTCTACGACTCGCTCGCGTGCGCGCGCGCGCGCGCTCGCGCGACTCCAGACCGGTCGTCGACGGCGGTGGCGTCTCGCGGACGTGGACGCGGCGTCGCTGCCGATGACGGCCATCGCGTTGCCTAAGTTCCTGGTGCGACGCCGTGAGTTGCGACCGATTTCCCGCCTTTTCGCGCGGCGCCGAGCTGTATGGCGTGCGAGCGAACAGAAGCGAGAGAGAGAGAGAAAGAGAGGAGAGGGGAGAGAGAGAAGATTAGAGCGCGGAGCGGGCGATCCTCCCCGGTCGCGAGAGTCGGCGCGATAAAAAAAACATCCACCATCTTTGTTGACGACGGGAGATAATGTGCGTACGTACGTACGGCGCAGCTACGAAAAATTTCGCTGGATGGAAGGAAGAAAAGCAGGAAGGATGGGAGGGCGGGCGGCCGGTCGGTCTGTCGGAGGTGGCTGGAGGCGCGCGGCGCCGTGGTCCGACGCATCACATGGCGCGGCCGCGTCGTAACGACGCGCGACAGCGCGTACGCGCGTATACGACAGCCTGGCTCGCCGTGGCCCGTCGCCGTCGTCCGGGGGCCCCAGGAGTACGCGCGGAAGGACGCGTCCCCGCGACCACGGTACTCGCGGGGGAGGGGAGCACACTGCCGCCTCGCACACGCCGCTCACGGCATGAAAACTCGGCTTGACGAAGGTGTTTCTGACGTACCCGCCGGCCCGCTTACCTTGGACGTATCCTCGACGTTGTTGTCGCTCTTGGTCTCCGTCTTTGCGTCGGACATCTCTTCACGTGCGAATCACTCAAAAACACTAGGAAATCCACGATTCCACGGCGAGAATTCGCGCTGCGCCCGGTCGCACTGTTTATACGATAAGGAAAGATGGCGGTTAGCGTGGGTCACGTGACACCTCGTCAAACCTCAGAGCGGGAGTTCGGCGCGCCGTGCCGCGCCGCCGCGATCAACTACGCGCGTAGCGACGCACACGCGACCCCGATGCCGAGATTCTCGCTCACGGTTTTCCACGCTGCACACTCGTCGATTTTTCTCTTTTTTATTATTATTATTATTATAAAAGGACGAAGCGCGTTTACGTCAGCAGTAATGCGATCCTTCGTAACTTGCGATATCGTGTACAATAAAGTAAAATCAAATATGATTCCCCATCTTTTTTTTTTTTATTAAAAAATTTTAAATTCGTAAAATCGCACCCATTTGCTGTCACGCTGTAATACGAGCAACGTTCTTTTAAGATAATTAAAAGTACAGCGTAGAATACCATCAAAGAATTTAAAACCAGGATGATTTGGATAAAGAGACCCTCGCCAGCAGTTTTGAAAATAATTTTCACGAGCGCATATTAAATTGTAATTAATATCGCGCACGCGTACTTACTTTACTTACCTGCTTCAAAATCGTTCTATGTATTGTAGTACGTATTCATACGTCGTTCTGTTATAGTCTTTCTCTCTTTCGATTTATAAAATTATAAGAGGTAATCATATAGGATTTTTTAATTATTTATATGCTGCTTTGAATTAAAGATGTAATTTTTTGTGTTTACGCATCATGAAACATGTGTAAATGTTGAAATTAATCTAAGAATGGTATATTATACAATTTGACACAAATAAAATAAAATTCGTTGCTTAGAATCTAAATAAAATAGAAAGTTGCATAAATACGTAATACCTATTTTTTGTTTATCCGATCTTAAATGTCTTTATCTCTGCGTATACTCTACTCTGTAAAACAGAAATTGTTAGAAAGAGTTCCGCAATTAGTGTCTTTTAACAGTAAGGCGTTAATGCGTTGGCATTCTTCGGAACCAGAATCTCGCCCTGAAATCGTCGCTGCATGTCAAAAATGCAGGCGCGGTTGGTGAATGTATGATCATCCTCACAGGACCGTTATGACCTAATGACAGCAACTGTTTTCTCGATGCATTACGAGAATTCCATGCACACAACGAGGTAGTGGCTTCGTCAGGGAACAGCACATAGTCTTCGGTATGATTAAAGATCGCCTGTGCCTTGTGTTCCTGCCTACCTGTGGAAAACGGTTTAGTCAGTCGTATATTCGTGATTGTATTATCGTAATATTAACAAGGCATACCGCACCGAATATATTCCAAGTATGTCAAAACGTTATAGTCTTTTACCTGTAGTTCCGGCACCTGTATACGCTATTAGACATCTGCTAGTAGATAATTCCCATAACTTTATCAAGGAATCCTTTCCTGAGGACAATATATACTGAAATCCAAAATTATATAATTACTCAATATTTTAAATGGGAATAAAAGCACTAAGTTTCCATCGGCAATTTACATGTATAAATCTTGTGCAACATTATCGCCAGAATTACTACCTTGCCATTCCTTGTGAACATCACTGAGCATACTTCGAAACCATCGTGCGCTTTCGCAAAAGTATTCACACATCGATTTGACACCCCATCCCACAGTTTGATGCTTCCGTCTTTTCCTGCCGATACATAAGTCTTTGCATCCGGCGAATACTTGATGCTCGTTACTCCGGCTGTATGCTGATGATTCGGTATGCTACACACAAAACATTGTGCAGTATTTACGTCGTATAATCTAACTATCGGATGATTGGTCCCAACTATAAGAAAATCTCCAGTTGGATGAAAAGATAGACATCGAATTTGATCTGCATCTGTGATGGTCCTGAAAGCCTTCTTAACGCTGGCTTTACTAAAATCAAATAACTTCACAGAGAAGTCACGACTGCCAGACACAAGTATAGGCTCCCTAGGATGAAACTCCAAACATGTTACTTCTTCCAAGTGATCGTACAAAGTTCTTATAACTGGATGACCTCCACTTTGATCTCCAGGTGCAATCTCTTCTGGTGCAGACTTGGCCAGCATTCTGTCTACATCTAAAATCTTGATCGAGGCATCTACAGAACCAGTAGCTATCAGCTGACCATCTACTGAGAAAGCTCCAGCCCTACAGTTTCCTTTATGGGATGTGACGTACGCCGTTTCATATTGTGCTGGTTCTGGAGCTTGAGTCTGAGCTTCTGTCTCAAATTCTAGGTCTAACCCAGGACCTAAGGTGTTGTCGAAACTCGATGTAAACGAGGATAAGTTGACGCTATTATCCTTCTTAGAACGATCCGGTTCATGAGCAGTACCGATCAACATCAAATGAAGCAGTCGATCCGAGGGTGGGCATGGTGGATCCGCCTGTATCATATTGGATAGCTGGACGGCTAGAGTCTGATGACCATCGTAGAACAGCTGACTGAAATATTCAACATAACTTACTTGATAATCCATTGCACGTGTCCCACTTTTGTTATCTTGCTGACGAAACTACAATTGTAAATTACACTTGCCATTGAACTTTTACACAAGAATCGCGCTTTATACGAGAATATTAACGGTAAAGGAGCGGAATTCAAAGGAGAGAGTGTAAAAGAGACGATTATAAACAACCTGATCATCAATCTATAGAGCAGTTCTCTGCTCTTTATGATGTTCTTCGGATCTGCCTCAGGTTCCTTCATTGCGCCCTGGCCCGCCGTATTCCCTGGAGGTGACTGAATCTTGGCGAGTTTAACTAGAACCGTCTAAAAAGTACTTTAAACCACCCTATTAATCGATGACCCCGGCCTTTTTTGCAGGTTATGTCGCGTTGTTGTCACCCATCACATTTATGCTTGTGCTTTTGCATCGCTTACGTTTGATTGGTGGTTCGGGCAGTCGCGACCAATCAGCGGTGCGCGCCGTTGTCAGTGAGAGTTCCACGTGACACAGATTTCTGAAAAACTCTAAAAGTCCAGAATGGCCGAGATTGATGGCAGTTCAGGATTAAATAAGACCGTCTCCGAACAAAAGGGTGCATACCGCAAAAAGTTGTCGTTGAACGAGCACGCTCTACGAAAGCGGCAAGCCTTCAAGTTCGCTACAAGTAACAGAGATATCTATGTGAACAACAAGACGCCTTTCAAGGTACCTCGTGTATAAAAGTCATAACCTTTCCATCGTTACAACTTCTTCGCTGCAGATTCAAAACGAATGCGCATTTGTTTCGAAACTCTGTCGTCGCACTTTCTCAGATATTTGTAAATATTTTAAAGGGACAATTATACAAATGCGAGAAACTACTCGACAAAGGTGCTTCTGAGCTGATCATCCATGGACTTGGTGCTGCTGTGTGCAAAGCAGTTAACTTGGCTCTGCGATTGAAGGATATTCATCATAACACTTTAGATCTTGATGTTAAAACCTCTACCGTCACTTTAGTAGGTACGTATACTTTTCTATATACATAATCAAACTAAAACGAAAGTCTAAGGATACCTTGTTAATTACAGATGATTTAGAAGCATTAAATGACGAAGTGGACGACGAGATAAACAGCAGGCAAAACTCTTCTATACACATACGTGTCATTAGGAGAGTGCCAGTGGCTGTGTTAAGATCTAAATAGGAACAAATTGATATTGAGACTTTGTAAAACGATATGTTTAAGTGATAAGTGGGTAGATAGAGTGAATGACATTATTAGCTACATTATTATTTCAATATAGTTGATAGAGAATTATACAATTTTTTTGCGATGATCTTCTCTTTAAACGAACTGGTTCACTGGTTAGGTTTAACAATCTTTGAGATATGGATCAATTTAATTGCCTTAATGTTCTTCACCGTTCTATTAGCTTTAAAATTAGATGAAAATTGCTTTTTGGGACCGTCAGGATGGTGGCAAGTATTTTCACCGCTCTTAGTAGCAGATGGTTTAAATACATATTTTTGTGCTATTATTTTTATAAGAATGTACATGGAAGGAATGATTAGAGCATGCATTTTGCGAGCACTATGGAGTCAAATATCATTATTATTAATCTTTGTGTTTAAGTATCTTCTGTGTAAAAAGCTCTCTGGACAAAGCACGTTGGAGTATTCTGAAGTTTTGAGTCCTGTATTCATTCTTCTGCAATTGATCGCTGTTAGAGCTTGTCAATTACATTAAGAAAAATAGAAAAACTTTCCTGTATACTACTTCGATGCTACTTCCAGAGTCATCATCTGTGAGAACGATATGTATTATACAATACACTTGTATATACTATATTTTGTCAGATTTATTTAGATTAAAAATTAAGGGATTTTATCTTTTTGTAAACATTACTTTTCATTTTCATCCTGCTATTTAACATTATGCTATTCCTGAATAAGAGTATGTTATGCAATACAAATTTAATAAATATTCTCTCAGAGTAATGATATATGATACAAGAATGTTAATTAAAATGATAAAGTAATATATTCATAAATGATATATTTCTTTGAATTAATATTTTGTTAATATTTAAAGTATTATGTAAACTTATTGACACAAACTGTTTACAATAAGCAGAGTTAACTTTTGAACGAAAAATAACAAACAATTTTTTGTTATTATATATTTAAATTATTTTATATTATGATGGATGATTCTTAAATTTTCTATTAATTAATTTCCAAATTATTTACAGGATTTTATTATTTATGATAATTAACGGGGAAAAAAAGAAAATTTAGTTTGGAATACTTGGAAATAATAAGTATTTATTTGTGAAGAAATTAATGTATTTAATAATAATAAATAATATTTATACATATATAATTTCTTTCAAATATAAAATTAATTAATATAAAAATCACATTTACAAAAAAATGTTTTTAATAAAACAAAAATTGATATTAGAAATCGATTCTTTTAAGTTATGACTTTGCAGAGCACGATTTACTTGAACTATTCACGAGAGTTCAATATTTAATATGTTATCGAACTATTTTTAACCACTACGTTCCAACATTCTGCTATGCAGCGCTTGGAATTTACGTTTCTTAGAGAATGTCGATAGAAACTAAGACAGAAGTTTCCTTTTATAAAAATAACAGGCCTGTGAATCATAACGTAACATAGACCGATAAATTTAACACTGCTCCATTTAAACTCTAAAGATAAACAACTGACCAGCAATCCAGGTGCTTTATGTGGGCATGTGTGCCCCCTCCAATCCTCTTCAGCTAAGATCAATAATCCTAACTGAAGGGAGACAGTGGATGTATTCAGTGAGAAGGGGTGCGTGAATCAAGTCATTCTATAGGTAAAGCCTGTTGCTGGTACTACATTTCACAAGTTCGCAGAACGTGCTACATTAAATGCCACATTAATTGTCTGTCATAAGACTGATTATCAATTACAAGATTCAGTGATGTGCTGTGGATATATCAAGGGATTATGGATAAGCTGGCTAATGGGACTCATGGTTAGTTTTTATACCCTTAATTTTTAATACACATAGGATGGCGGCAAGTGCCATTTTTGTATATAAAACGCGCTCAAAGTTTCAACATTCTGAAATAATAATACGCTAAATTAACAGCATGTTTCCTTTGTTAAACTGAAGTATATTGGAAACTCTATCAATTCAAACAATAAATTATAATTTATGTAGAATAATGTAGTTTACCATATAAATTATATTATCATGTTTTGTATTATGTAAACTTTATGGAGTGACATTTAATCATGACGTGTATCATGTATGTATGTATATATATATATATATATGGGTCATTCTGTTTTTAATTTTATGTTTTTGTCATTAATTAATAGGTATAAACGCAACAACCCAAGTCACAGGTCAGAACTGTGTGTCAAATTCATCAAACTCTGCATTTCTCTTAGACAAATCACTGGTCATTGCACCTTCATGGAGTGCGATACAACAAGACATAAGATGGGCGTTTCTATTACATGCATATAGCTTTGCATGTCTCTTCTTTGTACTAGGGTTTTACACATTCTTCTCTATTCTAAATTTAAGGTACTATGCCTGCATTGATAATATCAGTGAAAGCTTCATGTCTTTATTTAACTGCTTTTCTTTCAGATCTCTCATATCAACCAGGCCATTTATGTCCACGATTAATATATTCTTATGTTTACTCGGAGCATCGAGAGCTGCTTCCTTATTCATAGATGCGTACAATCTTAAAGAAATTCTGCCCAAAGTCATTGGCTCAATTATATGGGACATTGGATATCCATGCATTACATCTGCCTTTTGCCTGATACAATTGGCTTTCCTGCAACTGACAAAGGTATTAACTACTTAAATTGAATAAGTTATGTATATAGTTAAGCGTTGCCATCCTTCATATGGGCCACTTTCAGCTAAAATTTGGTCCAGAGAGAATACAGAAGGAATCCTGCCTCAGTCTCATTATAACAGCACATTTCTTCTTCGTTATCGCCAGCGATATTGTTCTATCCTCTCATAATTGCTACATGGTGAAATACATGGTTCAAGCGGCGTTTCTCGTCTGGAGCATTCTTTTGTATTTCGCTTTCCTACACGCGGCTTACAAAATTGATCATTTGCTCCGAACTATGCCAAGCAGTATGTTGACACGAGACAATTCCAATGCCCATCAGAAAGGTTGGTTACCGATTTTTTATTTGTACGTCAATTTTTGTAATTTTTATTCTTCTAAAATTTTTACCGTTATCTTCATATAATTTTATATTTTTATGCACATGGACTTAAGATTATCTCTCTCTTGCTCCTCTCTTCTTTATTCATGTATATTTTATACAGCGTTTGTTTCGGAATTGTATCACAAAAATTTACTTATAATTCAGGTATCATGCAACTCGCGATGTTGGCACCGTATAGTAATTTGGCTACTTCGGTTGCTGCCGCGCTGGTACCTACTTTACTTGGCCCGGCTAAAATGAAGGGCCCAGAGGAAAATGAGCCTGTAAATGCGAATAAAAATGCGGAGGAAGCATCTCTGGAAGGAGGTAATACACAACAAATATTATTTTATCATAAACCACCCATCCAGAAATATACATATTTTTTATTGAGATCTGTTTTCAGAATTGCGAGCCACAATTACCACCAAGGTATGCAAGATAGAAGAACCAGCGCAAAAGGAAGTACAGAATGTTATGATACCTATATGCACTGTACAATCACCGTCACAGGAACAAAAATCATCAGTACCGGAAGTCTACGTTAGACCACCCACTCCTACTCCGTCAACTGTTAATCTGCCGATTATAACTGTGTCCAGCCCGAGTCGTAGAAGCTCCATGGCTAGTCGACGAGGCAGCGACACGTCTACAAAATCCTCGCGCAGGAGTTCGGAGTGTAGCGTTAGATTTGTAAATGAGGAGAATACAGCGGAATGCAAACGCACGACGGAGGGTAGCCCTAGGCCGTTACCAAGAATGCGAGAAGAGTTTGAAAGGAATCGCTCGCCAGAGAGTCCACGACGATACTCTGAGAATATCTCGCCGACAGGCAGCACCAGGGAACTAAGACGATGTTCCGATTTTACTCACGAAAAGAATCGTGGCTCACAATTCGCAATCAAGCTGCGGAGGAATAGCGATTTTGGTAATAGAACGCCCAGAAGAATGTTGCCGCCTGACGAACATTCTAGATTACCCAAAGTCCTGGATATTAGCCCCGCAGGTAAGAAAAAAATACAGCTCATATAAGAGTAAATCTTTAAAAATATTCTAACTTACATTCTCTTTTTTTAATATTATTTTTTATTTTATCTTGTTCTTATATTGTTTAACAATATTTCAGGTTCAAGACGCAATTCCGATATTGGTATATCACCTAGACCTGACTCGCGTAGAAATTCCGAGAGTTCCTATCGACGCAACTCCGAGTTCATTCACATTAAACCGTTAATTATAAGTCGTCGGAGTAGCGATATCAGTATCAGAACTCTAGATAGAAGTCCCACACACTTTCAGAGTATAGTACCTATTAAGACAGAGGTGCAGGAGAAATCTGAATCAGATTCAGATCATCCTGATTGCAGCGAGAAGGCAGCGCTGATGACCGAAAAGTCGAAGAGCAAAGAAGAAGAACCAAAAGTACGTAAAAAAAATTTATCGTGGAACGATAAAAATATTGAAGATGCGGAAGACATCACACCAGAAACTAACTTACTTCCTGAAAATACGTCTAGTGAAGCAAGAGTTATGGTACGTAATACTTACTATATCATTAGATTCACAGAATGCATTTAAAATAAGTCTTGGACTTTCAAATGACGTCCTTTTAAATGCCCAGAACTTTTGTATTATTTGGGAACTGTATGATCTCGCTATTTCCAGAGTACGGACTTTACCCTTCACTCAATACTGAATCACATCGCGTACGTGAATCGAGCGAAATCTGATACGCCGCTACATATACCGGAAGCGGATACCGCAGTTGCCAGGAAATCTCAGATGCAAAAAGTATTAAACGTTACACGCGCTACTGCGATTTTAGGGATCCTTCTATGCGTTACGGATGCCTTTCGTATTTTTGGACCATACGGTATTTATAATAGTACAATAATAAATAACAGTAATAAATAACAAGTAGAAGCTATAATTTTATTTTTATATACTATGAAATATTCTCGTATAAAATAAATAATATGTATGTATAAAATAATGCTATTGATTCGTTTTTAGGACTCTTTGC